ATCCCCACCACTCAATACAATCCCACCCACTTGGGCCGCCTTCCTAAGCTTGATTTCCTGAAATTTGACGATGACCACACTCAATTTTGGATCACATGTGCCTCAAATTACTTTGAGATGTATGATGTGGAATCTCCTATGTGGATCCGTGTTGCCACCATGCATTTCACTGGAGCCGCTAAGCGCTGGTTGTAGTCCATTGAGCACCGCCTAGCTTCTATTGATTGGCCTACCTTCTGTGCTTTGATCCACAAGCGCTTTAGCCATGATCAGCACGAACTCCTCCAGCGCCAACTCTTCAATATCCGCCAAACCGGCTCTGTGTCTGAGTATGTCAACAAATTCACATCCCTGATCGACCAACTCAAGTCCTATAACCCCAATCCTGATCTCCTTTCTTATACTACACGATTCATCGATGGTCTCCGCGATGACATCAGAGCTGTTATTTTGGTTGCTCGCCCTACAAGTCTGGATGCTGCGTATACTCTTGCTCTATTGCAGGAGGAGGCTAGAGAGTCATCAAGGTGCAAGGAGTTCAGCAAGTTAGGAGCACCATATTTGCCAAAGTTGACGGCTGGTTGGGGTGCCTTGCCCCTGCCGCCTCCACCTGCTCGTCCCACTAGTGACCGGATAACTCCTAATGACAAGTTGCTGAACACCAAGATGGCTGTCGTGGACGACAAGTTCTCTTCGCTGAAGTCGTTTAGGCATGCACGAGGTCTTTGCATACGCTGTGGGAAAAAATGGGTCCCTGGTCACCACTGTGCCCCAACTCCATAGCTCCATGCTCTACAGGAGATCTGGGCTATCTACCAGGATGACTTTGATCTTCTAGAGGATGAACATCAGTCCGAGCCTGATGATGTAGCTCAAGTTTGTATGGCGTTGTCAGTGTCTGCTGCTTCCGATGCCCCGGCACCACATACTATGCAATTTATGGGGTTTATTACTGGCCGTCCTGTGCTCATCCTAGTTGATTCAGGCAGCGGTCACTCTTTTATCAGCTCAGCGATCACTGCTTCCTTGCCCGGGGTCAGGCCGTTGCAGGTTCCTATGATCGTAAGAGTGGCGGATGGTGGTGTTTTGTCCTGTCAATCAGAGTTACCTGACATGGAATTGGAAGTTCAGGATCATTGCTTTCATTCAACCCTACGGGTACTATCTTTGGGCTCCTATGATATAATCTTGGGCATGGATTGGTTGTCTGCATTTTCTCCTATGAAGGTCAATTGGCAAGATAAATGGATGTCAATTCCTTATGGTCCAATTGCAGTTGTACTTCAGGCCCTACAGTCTTCTGAGTCTGGTTGCAATGTCATTCAGCTCTTCAACATCACTTTTGATGCAACAGTAGAGTAGCAGCCTCTCATACTTCCGCAAGTACAGGAAGTTTTGGATGAATTCAGTGATATCTTTGCTGAGCCTTCTTCATTGCCTTCATGCCGAAATTGTGACCACACCATTCCCCTCATACCTGGAGCGCAGCCAGTTTCCATTCGGCAGTACCGTTACTCCCCCAAACTCAAGACATAAATTGAACATCAAGTGTCTATGTTGCTTAAAAATGGTATGATTCGGCCTAGCAACAGTCCCTTCTCATCTCTAGTGTTGCTTGTCCGTAGGAAGGACCACTCATGGCGTATGTGTGTGGATTACAGGATGTTCAATGCACTATCAAGTCCAAGTTTCCCATCCCGTTCATTGACGAGTTACTGGACGAGTTAGCATCTGCCCGCTGGTTCACTTGTCTGGATCTTCACATTGGGTTCAACCAAATTAGACTCGCCCCAGGCGAAGAATACAAGACAGCCTTCCAGACACATTGGGGTCAATTCGAGTACAGTGTCATGTCTTTTGGCCTCACTGGTGCTCCCAATACCTTCAAGGGCGCTATGAACTCAACATTGAAACCACTGTTGCGCATCTATGTGATCCTCTTCTTTGATGATATTTTAGTGTACAACCCCACATTGGAGCAGCATATTCAGCACCTTCGCTAGGTATTTGCTCTGTTGGCCAAGGATCAATGGCTTGTCAAGCTCAATAAATGCAAATTTTCCCAGGAATTGATCTCTTACTTGGGGCATGTGATCAGTGCACAAGGTGTGGGAACGGATCCAACCAAGATTGAGTCGATCAAGTAGTGGCCTACTCCTATAGATGTTAAACAGTTGCGTAGTTTCCTCGACTTGTGTGGCTACTATCGCAAGTTTGTCAGAAATTTTGCAGTCTTGGCTCGACCCCTCAATGATCTTCTCAAGAAGGGAGCACTATTTGTCTGGACTCAGGTTCACTCAAACACATTTTTGGCCCTTAAAGAAGCTCTTATGATAGCTCTGGTCCTGGCTCTACCAGACTTCTCAAAACCATTCCACCTGCAAACTGACGCAAGTGAGTGTGGAGTGGGTGCCGTACTTCTCCAAGAAGGTCATCCATTAGCCTTCGTGAGCGAGTCATTGGGTCCAAAAACCAAAGGGCTTTCCACTTACGACAAGGAATGCTTGGCAATTTTAGTGGCGATTGAACAATGGCGTTCTTACCTACAACACAATGAATTCACCATCTTCACAGATCAGCGCAGTCTAACTCATATCATAGACTAGCGCCTCCATACACCGTGGCAGCTCAAGATGTTCACCAAACTCGCCGGGTTGCAATACAAGGTGGTCTATAAACCTAGGGTGTCCAATCTCGCTGCCGATGCTCTTTCCAGGCACCTGACTGCTCCTTCTCAACTTCAAGCTATCTCATCGGTCACCCCTTCTTAGCTTTCTGAAGTGATTTCTGGCTATCAGACTGATCCAGCTGCTACCAAGTTGCTCCAAGAGTTATCTGTTGCTCCGGACTCTCATCCACCTTTTAATCTGTCTGGTGGTTTGCTATGATACAAGGGTTGTATCTAGCTGGGTGCTAACAAGGATCTACAACTCAGGGTGTTGCCTGCACTTCATGATTGTTCCCTTGGCGGCCACTTTGGTTTTTCGGTGACCTTCAGTCATGTCAAGAAGCTATTTGCCTGGCGTGGAATGAAATCCGATGTCCACAATTATGTTGATGCTTGTACTGTTTGCCTTCAGGCCAAACCTGACAGAGTCAAGTGCCCCGGGTTACTCGTTCCACTGCCTGTTCCCACGGAGTTTTGACAAGTGGTAAGCATGGATTTCATTGATGGGCTTCCCACCTCTGGCCATGCCAATTATATTATGGTGGTTGTCGACAAGTTCAATAAATTTGCCCATTTTGTTCCTCTGTACCATCCGTATTCAGCTCAGAAGGTGGCTCGGCTCTTCTTGGACTCCATATTCCGTCTGCATGGCCTTCCATCCCATATAATATCTGACCGTGATCCGGTGTTCACAAGTTCATTTTGGAAGGAGCTGTTCCGGCTAGCAAAGGTTCAGTTATGTTTGAGTACAGCTTATCATCCCCAATCCAATGGACAGACCAAAAGAGTGAACCAATGTTTGGAAACTTATCTCCGATGTTTCATTCACTCTTGCCCTTGCCGTTGGCTTCGGTGGATCTCTTTGGCCGAGTTTTGGTACAACTCCAGTCCTCATTCAAAACTGGGTGGTCAATCTCCATTCGAGGTACTTTATGGTCATGCTCCATGCCATTTTGGTATTATTGATGTTGCTGTCTCCCCTATTCCCGATGTTGAGGCCATGCTGGCGGAGCGTGAGACTATGCTGGTCACTGTCGGGCAGCATCTCCTGCATGCCCAGTAGAGAATGAAGTCGTAGGCTGACAAGAATCGTACTGATTAGGCGTTCAATGTGGGTGATTTCGTCCTATTCCGCCTCCAGCCATACGTGCAATCATCACTGGTGCCCCGCTCACATCACAAGCTTTGCTTCAAGTACTTTGGGCCATTCAAGATCATCAAGAAGATTGGCCCTGTCGCCTACAAGCTCAAGTTGCCGCAATCTTCATCTATTCACCATGTATTCCATGTGTCGCTGCTCATGCCGTCTCCTGCTTCAAGTTCGGCACCTCCTACCACACTGCCCGAGCCTTCTGATGCTCTGCAGGTGCCGGAGTAAGTGCTTCATCGCCAACTACATCATCGTGGTACACATTAAGTTCCCTAGCTCTTGATCAAATGGTCTGGTTTGGACAGTGAGTTGGCAACTTGGGAAGATGAAGTTTCCATCAAGCAGCGTTTCCCAGCTGCGCCGGCTTGGGGGCATGCCGGTTCTCAAGGAGGAGGGGTTGTCAGCAGTCCTCACCCAGGTGACCCAGAAGCACAGCTAAAGCCCAAGTGGAGCAAACAGCCCAAGAAGCCAAACGTGCGCCTAGTTGGACCAGAATGTTGGGCCTGTGTGGCCTGCATCGCCAAGTCCACTAGAGCAGGGAATAAGTAGTAGAGTATCCGATGGAGTCTATAAGAAAAATCATATCAGAACTCTACCAACTTCTTTCACAAGCTGGCTCCCTACCGGTGAACTATCATTCTTCTTCCTTGAGCTCTAACAACTTCTTTCCCAAGCCGGGTCCCTGCAAGTAAACTATCCTTCTTCCTCGTCGATTACTTCGATTCCTCGTCGGATCTCCGCTGTAGCGAGCGGAGGTCTAACAAAAACTCAGCCAAATTGGGGTCATTCTGCACATGATCATGGTCACTAGGATCCTCCCTTGCTCTAAACAAGCATCCCAAGGAACCGCCGCCATGTTAGCAGCAGGGAGGAAGAGGAACAGAGGAATCAGAGTTTAGGTAGGAAGCAGAGCAGGGGCAGGGAGAACAGATGAGTTCTTAGTATCCAGTTGGGAGATAATTGTTTACAAGTTTGATTGATGCCCCTCTTGCAAGACGGTGCTACCCCTTTATACAACCAGACTCACGCACATACTTGCCAAATGGCATTTAGGCCCAAACACCCGGCTGCTCCTGGATGCGGACAGAGCTGGTCTTCCATGCGAAGGCCCGTTCCCAATTCATCATGTTGCTCTCACGGCACACTTCTGGCAGCAAGAACTGATGGATAGGCAGTAGACCATCAGACATCCTGACATTCCCCCGGTCTTGCGCGGCTGCTTGCCCCCAAGTAGCGGGTCATGGAAACTGCTGCTGTAGCGAAAGATGTCCTCCAAAGCGGCCAGTGTACCTGGAAAGTGTGTCCCGAACCAGTACCTGCGTACCATGGAAGAGCCACAAGCAACTGTCCGCCTCGGAAGAATTGCCCTGGAGCACACCACTGAGTCTCAACATCAGGAAATTGGGATGAGACTTCGTGATGCTGGCCAATAGCTTTGTTCAACAGAGGAATGTGGAAGGTCAGATGTATCAGCGAGATCTCAAGATTCTTGGAGAAAAACTTCCACGCTGACATGATTCTGACAGGTGCCACTGATTTCCTCAACACGGACCGCTGCCATCCAATAGCAATAACTGAAAGCCCATACTCATCAACTGATCCTGACTTAGGTAGCTGAAAACAGGTGCTTATTTCTGATATAGAAGAATCCATCATCATCCAACTCGAGATCAGATATCTCATCTCCTTCGGGAAGATTAGGGGCAGCGAAGGTCTTGTAGACATGTTGTTCGCCTTGCCTTGACTCGGCATCAATCTGATGGTCGTAGCATGCGCCAACACATGGCCGCCTGCTGGTTTCTTTGGATCAGTTATGAACATTCCACCACATAGATCAGCAATTACTGGATTGGTGATGTACACTGTAACATGGAACTCCCCAGCAAGCGTGGTAAGCTGGAACAACATCTGTGCTAGCTTCTGCTGACGCTCTGCAAGTTCACCCCTACCACTAAAATCAACATGGAATACTGCAATCATAGATGTTGGCGGTCCTTAACTCACACTTTTAACCGTCAATATTTATATAAAAAACACTCAAACGGTCACCAAACTTAGGATTAGGGCTTACAACTCACAAGTTTCACTAGTTTTGGTGGATTACCTTTTTACAGGATGACCTACATGAGAAGCATGGAAATATGACAAGAACATGCAATCATGCAAAGCGTATTTCCATCATGCACATAGCGAAAGAAAAGAGGCCAAGTCACCAGGCAAATCAAGGCCCGAACATGAGGAGAATCTTGTCAAAAGCCCAAACAACCAACGCATCTAGGCAGAACACCAACGCAGGGGAGGTCCTGGCCCAGATAGCAACCTACCAGAGGAAGGCGGTCACGGGGTGGCTCCACCAGGGTGCGACCGCACCCAGGGTGCACCCGCACCCCTGCTACCGCCTCTCAGGCCCACTCTCCTCTGGCGGTACCATCAATGCACCTAGGGTCGGTTTTGGGGGGTTTCCTAATTTATCTCACCCAAAATGACCATGGAGTACTATATAAGAAGAGCTACCCCCCTCCATGAAAGAGAACACCACAAAGGAGCAAGAGCAAGACAAAGAGCACCACTCCAAGGCTTAGGCCAAAGCTAGCTTGAGTTGAGTAGTAGGGAGAGATGTGAGGGAGAGTTCGGGGAAGTGCTGGACTTGTCGGTATTCTCCCCAAGCTTGTACCTCGGCGACCACTTGCTTAGTACCTCGATGGATACTTTAAGCTAAGTAAGTGTTCGTGTTTCTTATGGTAGAAAGTTTTTTTATTAGCTAAGCTTTACTCTTGCTCGTTTGCGGGTTCATCGTCCATCCCCGTGATGGATACTCTAGTAGAGGGCTCCCGATAAAGACGGATCACCATGTACAATGCTATAGTAGTAGTTGATAGCATAGACGTGGTCTCTAGGCTAGAGGCTACCTTTGTTTGCCTCATGCGCCACAGTTGAGGGGTAGGCGGCAGGTGGTGACAGCCCTGTTCGTCCCATGTAATCTCCCACTTTGGGTTCGACGTAGACCCGTAGGCCAGCAACGCTTGGCAGACCAAGTGTTCACCGGTGCCCGAAGTAAGCAAGTAGAAGTAGAGCTTATCTATCCCTTGACCCAAAAACCATAGGAATCCATCTCAACCTCTACCAACTCTACCCTTGTGTTGTCCTTGGATAAACTAGCTAGGAGAGTACCACCATTCCCTGTGGAAAATATGATACTCTGAATACTTTTGAGTGAAATGCTACAACGGTAATTCCGTGCGCTTGCGGATTATTTCTGTATGCGTTAAGAAATACCAACAAGCATTTCTAGCACCGTTGCCGGGGAACAGTTGCTATTTTCTTCGAACCTAGTTCATCCTTGTATTTGTATCCTTTTCTTTTTATAAAAACAAAAATATTTCTTTTACCTTTTTCACCATGAATACAACTCTTATAAAAAATCCTTCCACTTCAAAGGGCGAGTTCGCTGAGCCACCACCAAAACCAAACCTTTCATCCGGCGGTGAACTCCACCTTGGCTTGATAGACATGGTTTGGGCACAACCCTTCTCTGGGCTTGATAGCGAAAACCCATGCAATCACCTGCACGAGTTTGAGGAAGTGTGTTCGTGCTTGAGCATCTCAGGCATGACACAACAAACACTAAGGTGGAAGTTGTTACCCTTCTCTCTCACGGGGAAGGCGAAGCAATGGTACACATTTGTCATAGAAAGTACGAATGGGGACTGGGATGAACTTAAAGACAAGTTTTGTCTTGCATTTTTCCCCATGTCCCATATCGACTCACTACCAAGGGCAATCCTCGACTTCGAGCAGCGCGAGAAGGAGTCTATAGGTGAAGCCTAGGCCCAGTTCTCAGCGTTAATACATGCCGACCCAGACTTGTCTTTACCCAATAGTATATTGATGTGACTCTTTTGTTTGGGTATTGACATAGATGCTAACCTATGCTTAGACATGACCACAGAGGACGTTTCACACATAAACTTATGACGGAACAAGTAAATTCCAAGAAAACTTTATAGACAGACACACTTCTTCCATCATAAGAACCAAACCCTTCTAGGCCAAGGTCATGTCGAGTGTTGAGGAGTCTTCATTAGTTGAATCCAAACCCATACCATCCTTAGATTCGACTCATGAGCCCTCACCCGAACCACGAACACCGAAGGAAAAGTTAATTCATCCTTCGGAGTTCCCTATTGAATTCGAGGATTATGGTGATACCTCAAAACTTTTAAGGCACGAAAAGCTTACACATCCTCCCAAGGAAGTTTCCCCCAAAATACCGCCAAAGGAATGGTTAATGGAAGGGAAACGTTCTTTCAAAGCAATTCAGATTCTTTGACCTTCCACAACCATACCTTGCTCATTAAAGGGAACGGTTGTAGAATTCCTGCACAACCCCATGGTCGAGACTAATATCATGTCTAAATTCCTTGCAGAAATCCTTCTGGGCAAAATGTCGCTAATCTCGACCAACAAGCTCTTCAAAAGTCCCTCGGGACTCATTTTTGAGTGTTGTGGGATTGCAAGGGACGTGCCCATCAAAATTGACAAAATCGAGGTTTCCATAAACTTCCATATCTATGCCATCCTTGAATTCAATCTTCTTATAGGCTACCCCCTTAAAAATCTTTTTCAAGAAAAACCTTCCCATCAGAGCCTTAGTGAAGAATTTGGGAAAACTGCTTCCGCCACTCACTCAGAAAACCCTATGGTGGAGCATTATCCCAACCATAACCTGTTTGAGGAGGTGAATTTTATATCCCCGTTCATTTCACTTGAGCTTTCATGTGAAATGGAACGTTCATCACCACCCTCGCTCGAACTCAAATCCTGTCCCTCTGGCCATCCAAACGTTGTTCTCAATAATGGCCAAGATTCGATGTTGATCCTACATGAAAACTTCTATGCCATGGACATTTCTAAAGAAGCTCTGGGATCAAGAAGGACCCGGTAGTTGAACATGAAAGCTTCTCTTTTGTAACCCCTAAAGTTTCATGCTCACTTTTGAAGTTCCCAGAGTTGATCTCGCTTAGTTCTACATGCTATCATGAGGACCATAACTATGTCTCTATCCTTGTTTCAAAACTTTTTAGGAGAATGGTTGTGGATGCATATGTTTATCAGAAATATTACAGATCTCGTGGATGCATTGTGGTACTAACCTTGCAGCTTGAACATTATTGCTAAAAGTTTGGTGGTAAAACTAGGAACTATACCACCATTGATAGCTGTAGGATAAAGTCCCATGGTTGAGCTTAAGACCATGAATGAAGCACTACCGGGTGATACCCTGGATTATCATATATTATCTAAAAAATTAATTATTATCATATAAAAAACTTTATTTTTAATAAAAGCAAGATCATGTTGTCAAGTTAGTATGCACCTTCGGGTATTCTTGGTTACTAACCTTTTCAGAAAGATATCAAGAAAAAGAAGGGACATACAATGCTTGAGAACATGAGGAGCTGCATCGACCATACACGTCGATGTTCTTTGGTGATATAACACACTCAAAGCGAGACCCCTCGACATTGCACACTTGACATTTACACAAAAGTCCAAGTGTGGGGGAGGGTGGTGAAAATCTCACTACAAAGTTCCATTCAGTTGGTGTTTCGTAAACTGGACTAGTAAATTTATATGATTGCTACACTGCTCTAGGAAGACGATGGTAGCATCCAATAAACATGAGGATTTGTACTGGTTCAGGCCGGAGCCCTACGTCTAGTCTTAGAGAAGATCAAGTGCATGTTCCTCGCTTGAATGCTTTGAAGTTTTTACAATGGGGGGTGCAAAAATGGTGAAAGAGGTGGAAGAACCTATGCTAGACAAGGAGCAACCCGAAGAGAAGCTCTAGGAGTCCTACTGCTATGGATGGAATGGTAGAGGATGAAGAATGAGAAGATATCTCTCGAGATGGGAGCCCTGGCCACCCTTATATATAGTTCGGGGCCAGGGCTCATTATAAAGAGAAGGTTCCCCCGACCGAAGGGTCGAGAGCCCGAGGGAGGTTCTAGCTAACTTGGCTTGCAAGCTACGCCGTCTTCTAATGCTTGCCCTAGCGTTGCTATCGTCATGGTCTTGTGGCCATGTTGCGGCAGGGTCTGACGTGGTGCTACTGTGCTGGCCGTGGCAACATTGTAGCCATGGTGATAGCTCGTTAGCTGTCCTGTGCAACACGGCGTCCCTCATGGTCTTCGCCGTTGTCTCTAGGTTCCCTAGGGCGTCGTTCGCTTGGTTGCTTCATGAGACTGAGGGCCACGACCCCTATCATTGGGGTCGGGGCTCTTCGCAAGTAGGGAAGGTCTCCAGGTCGAGACCCTTGTCATGGATCCCATCCCATAGTGGTGGGATCATGCACGCATCCTGTCGGTCCGTATTTGGACTGTGGGCATCGTACCTGTGGTCACCACCGTGCGACGTGGTGCTAGGATGATGCCCGATCGGACCGAGGTGATTGTCGTCACATCTGTCCTTGAGGGGTCGGTGTGGTGTGCTTGCCTTCATCAGAGCAGGCACGTTAAGAAGCAGGGCTTGACATCTCCTTGTCCCTCTCAGGGGTCGTGATGGGGGAGAGGTCGCGCACTTGAGCATCACGTGGCTATTGCTGGGAGAAGGGGTCGTGATCACCCATAGTCTTGGCACCTAGCCTGCTCTGCTCGACTTTTGCTAGGCCTCGGTCATTCGGGCCTTTGTTCTAGCTGCTGTGTTGCAGGCCACGCGGCCTGCTAACTAATCGGTGCCTTGAGACCCCACGGGGTTGTAACCCCGACACATCCACACCAAAGGTCATCTTGGGTTAAAAAGAAAAAAAATTGATGATAGCTCTACCATGCTATAAAAAAATTATTATAAAAAAATGAAAGTTGAAAAAAATTGAAGAATGATCAATATATATATATATAAAGAGAGAAAAAAAAGAGGAAGAGAGAGAAGGGGCATTCTCCTCCCCTAGACCTTTGCTATCACTAAGGCCCATGGTCTAT